CTCTTCTTCTTGGTTTTCTCTGATGCACTAACTCTGCAGCAGCACTTCTTCTTCATCGTCTCGTCTGATGCACTAATGGTGCGTTCAAGTCATGTCGGATAGATCGTATTTACGAGTTGAACACACATGAACGCTACCACAAAGTCGTTATTACGAGTGGGAAACTCAAATTTTTCTTTAAGCCCAGAGTTTCCGAGTTGGGGGCGTGTCAATTAGTGATGAGAAGTTCGGATAATTTTACCGACTCGGACCTTTGAGTCTCGTTCAGCGCAAGAAGCCTGACAGCACAAACTAATCCTGTCATTCTACAACTATGATTGTCATTTTTATACACACCCAAACATAAAAGGACACATGCAATTAAAAACAGAAAGTAATTTGCTACACAAGTTATCACGGAAAGTTATCGTAAGCCGTAGTGACATATTAACAAATAGGCCTAATGTACAGAGAAAAATATGGCAAGAATTATGGTTTATGTTTCTTCATTTATCATATTATAATGAGAAGGTCAAAATGTGCACAATGTACAGTACATATATACACTGCAGAAGTATGTATAAAGTCATAGATTACATGTGTAGTGTTATTCTGTAACGTACAGAGAGAGACAGATGTGTGAGGTTTCTTTTCTATAATGAAAGTTAAATACGTTAAAAAGAGAGATATGAATTGTAGTCACCAGAAGAGATCTTTCACAACACCAGGTCATGGATCTCTCATCACAAAAAGACACTTTACAGTGGCATTCATGGGTGAGGCCATGGTTTTCAAAAGGTGGTCAGGGCTAAATTGACAAAAATGTGGTGTGGGAAATATTACTGTCCCGCTAAAATATGAGTACCTCTACACTACCAGTCAAACATTTTTGAACAGCAAAAGCAGTAATATTGTGAAATATCTTTAGTATTTAGGGATTTAGTAAACCCAATCCCAATCCCTACCTCTAAACCTAACCCTACCCATAATTTATTCCTAAAATCAGTGTGAAATGATAGCTGATTAACAAGGATGTAGAAGCACCTAACCCTGATCGTAAGCCTAAAACAGACATTTCCTGAAAAGTTATCCCTCAATTCTGATCGGTTAATTGGAATGTTGTTCCAGGATCAACAAGGATGTTGATCCAGGAACATGTACTTGGTGAAATCACGGTCACCGTCACATGACCCTTCAGAAACCATTCTAATATGCTGATTTGCTGTTCAAGAAACATTTTTTTATTATTATTGTCAATATTTAAAACAGTAGAGTACATTTTTTACAGGATTCTTTGATGAATAGAAAGTTCAGCATTTATCTGAAATAAAAAGCTTTTGTAACATTATACACTATACCATTCAAAAGCTTGGAGTCAGTGTATATATATTTTTCTCATCAAAGAAACCTGAAAAAATTTTGTTATGTTCCCTGGGAGCTTTTTATTTTTTTTTGCTTTCGTTTTCCCTTGTCTCTTTTTTTTTTTTTTTTTTTTTTCCCCCCCCCCGGACATGCTGTGTCTCTTTTGACCACCATGACAAGAGCAACGGGACAGTCTGTGATGTCTGGTTCACCTGACTCCTCACTCTGGAAGCAGCATAGAGGTTTAAGTTTAACTTAGTACATCAGAAGTAGACAATAGCATTTATATTGAAGAAGAGTAGCACATCACTGCTCAACAGGCAATTATATAGGTAGATATTTCACAAGTTAATATTATTGCAATGTATATACAATTTAAATGCTAGATACAGTACCTGCCAAAAGTTTGAAACAATAACATTTTAATGTTTTTGAAAGAAGTTTCTTTTGCTCACCAAGGCTGCATTTATTTGATCAAAAATACAGTAAAAACTAAATACTGTGTAATATGATTACAATTAAAAATAATAATTTAAATGTATTTTAAAATGTAAATTTATTCCTTTGATGGCAAAGCGGAATTTTCGGTCTTCAGTGTCACATGACCCTTCAGAAACCATTCTAATATGCTGATTTGCTGTTCAAGAAACATTTTTTTATTATTATTGTCAATATTTAAAACAGTAGAGTACATTTTTTACAGGATTCTTTGATGAATAGAAAGTTCAGCATTTATCTGAAATAAAAAGCTTTTGTAACATTATACACTATACCATTCAAAAGCTTGGAGTCAGTG